TCTCTTTCTCTCTCTCTCTCTCTCTATATCACCTTTTCTTCTTCTACATAACTGAACTCAGTCAGGCCGAACTCTAAGGCAGACCTGAATTCTATCAGATTTATTAAAAGCCCTTTGACCTGGTTAATGATTAAAACATCCATTTTATTAAAAGGGTTTATATATGGTAAAAACAAGCCCCAAATAGTTGGATTGTTGGAATAAGGCTTTGATGAGTCAAGTAAGGTTTACCTGGCTAACGTTAAAGGGCTTTTAATAAAATGGATGATTGTCTAGCATATAGTAAAAGCCCTTTGACCTGCTTTTAATAAAGGGCTTTTATATATAGTAAAAGCCAGCCCCAAATAGTTGGATTGTTGGAATAAGGCTTTGATGAGTCAAGTAAGGTTTACCTGGCTAACGTTAAAGAAAATAGGAACTAAAATGGATGATTGACAACTTGCATTAAAAAACATTTGCAAGCTTTACTGTTAACAGTAGAGGATGATAATTTGATGACCATCATCAATAATACTGAACAATCATATAACTAATTTAAGTAGAGGAGGAAACAATAATGTAGAATAGGCAAATCTAAAAAATAACTTGACCTATTGACCACATCAGGACTTGAAAATTATTTGTTCTATTTCATGTTCCCTTTCTCTTTCAAGGTGGAGGGAGGAAGTATTAAAAAGATATTAGATCCGTTTCACTGCTATTCATCATTAAATAAAAGAATACAACTGGAATACAACCTAACCTACTTGACATTGTTGAGAAACAATTGCAAAGAGGTTATAAATTTGACCACCAGTTCTTTTTGATAGCTAAGGACCACTGATTCTTTACCTGAATCCAAATGGCGGTTGGTGCCCATGGCAATGGTTACCCGAGTTCCAGGTTCAAGTACTTGGTCGACCACAACATTCTGCAGAACATTGTATGAATCAAGTACAGTCATACATACCATCATCACCAGGCTTAACCCCAAATGATGAAAGTATAAAAAGACTAAGCAGAAGAACATCGGGAAGTGGTTAGAAACATGAATCCAAGATAAGACAATAAATCATAGCAAGAAACCTTTATGGAAGCAGAACCAGAGAAGTAGATATCCATTTTAAACTCTATATGTGTGAGTGTGTTTTCCTGTGTGTGAGATCAAAAACATGAAATTTTACATTTGTAATAATGAAAAAAGAGCAGATACAATGAAACATAGGTCCAACAACTGAACAGCCCGAGAAAAAAGAAAACAAAGAACCAAACAAGAACTTTCTTGAGAACAAAAACAAAAAAAAAAAAAACTTTCTTCTTACCTTTTTTACCATTGTGAGATACTTGTTTATATTCCTCAACAAAATAGGTAGCTAACACTCGTATTAATCTCAAAAAATCCTTGAAATTAGTACTATTTGGGAAGAAAGAAACAAAAGACTTTTCCACAGCATGTCCAAAGATCCAGAAGAACTGATTGCCTTTTCTTTTGCAAAATTGCTTTCTTGGGTCTCGGCTGTAAAGGCGGTTCAGGTTTCCCATCTTGGAGCTAGATTGTCCTCTAGGAACTTCTGGAATCTGCAATGGTGTATTGTCTGCTTGATCCTTCCCYAAAGAGTTGTTTTTGGGGGGGCTCCTCTTGTACTTTTATTCCAAATCTAAAGAAATTACCTTACTTCTTTCAAAAAGAAAATCCTTGAAAAATCAAGCTATGTGAACTATGTTTACCAGCTTCTTAATATTGCATACCATGTGCTAATCTTCAATTAGTATGGGTATCACATGTGAAGGAGAACCTTCTTTTATACCAATTTGTTTGCACTTTGTATAAATCAAAAGGAAAAAATAAAAATTATGTAGATTGATAGGTCTACAAGAGAAGACGCAAAGGAAGAGATGGAAGAGAAAAAGAAGACAAAGAAAAGAGAGAACAGTTAGGTTAGGGAAATAAATCTTGGGATGCATGCACAACCCCTTTTTCTGTTTATGTATATGGACTAGATTACAAGAATACCACTGGTGGACAGCATCATATAAAACAAAATAAAAATAGCGCCTTCACAACAGGATTGTGGGCCTCACAAAAAAAAATCTCATGATTTCTCCAGGGTTCTTTCGGACATGGATGTTCTTTTACAAACTTCTTCTTCTTCTTCTTCTTCTTCTTCTTCTTCTTCTTCTTCTTCTTCTTCTTCTTTCTTCTTCTTCTTCTTCACAAACTTCTTCTTCTTCCAAGCATGAATCACCTAGGAGACTTAGAGCCATTCTGTGACAAGAAACACCTCCACAGAGGGAAAGGGGTTACCAGTAAAAACACTGAATCCTAACCATCCCTCCTTTTCAACTCACCTCTCTGCATAAATAATTATTTATGTAAAGAAGGAAAACCTTCTTTGATACCAACTTGTTTGTATAAATCAAAAGGAAAAAAATAATAATTATTTAGATTGATAGATCTACAAGAGAAAATGAAAAAGAAGAGATGGAAGAGAAGAAGAAGAAGAAGAAGAAGAAGAAGAAGAAGAAGAGAATGGTTAGGGAGAGAATAAATCTTGGGATGCATGCATAACCCCTTTTCTATTTATATATATGAACTGGACTACAAGAATACTGCTGGTGGATAGCATCATATAAAATAAAATAAAATAAAATAAAACTCCTTGACAACAGGATTGTGAACCTCACAGAAAATCTCATGGTTTCTCCAGATTTATTTCAGATTCAGACACAGATGTGCTTTTACAAACAAAATTCTTCTTCTTCTTCCAAGCCCGCATCACTTAGGAGACTTAGAGCCATTCTGTGACAAGAAACACCCCACAGAGGGAGAGATGTTAAGTAGTAAAAACACCAAATCCTAATCATCCCTTTTATCCTTTTTCAACTCACCACACTGCAACCACTGTTTCAAAATTTTGAGAATAAACTGCAAATAAAATTGCAGGGATTGATTGCATCAACTCAGAAAGTGATTCAATATTAAGGCAAAGTTCAAGTTCATTGGTAAAACTTCAGATTCAGGTTTTTTTACCTTGATTAAAGATGTAAACAAAGGAAACCAGTTTCTCTATCTAACTGCCCATTTGGGATAGCTGAAGCACAGCGGCTTCTGGCTTTCCGAGGTGGGCTGCATATGGACAGCCTATAAGCTGTGTTTAGTGAAAGAATCCGGAGAGCCAAAATTGGCTGTCAGTCAGTCATTTGAACAGCTGTCCGCTTCAGCCTCTTTGAATAGCTTAACTGCAGTGCTTCAAAGCAGCTGAATCTTCAGGTCAGCCCTCCCAAACAGATCCTAAAGCATGGATGCTTAAAACTATATCATATCTTTGCCTCTTTTTTTTGATAATTGAAGAGGAATTTTATTAAGACAATATGAGAACTGTTACAATCATCTTACTGAAAGGCACAATGTGCGACCACCCTTAAAGAGTGACATAGCACTATAGATCAAGATTACAAGGTAGCCCAGTACAAATGTTCCCTCAAAACCCCTTGTTTAGCAAGATAATCTGCCATAGCATTTGCAGACCTGCCAACCCACTGTATACCAACATTCATGTTTCTTAATAACCAGCTGGCCTTCTTTGAGAGGTTCTTGTAGCACCAAATGACTGAGCTCAGATCTGTTAACCAACCTACAATAATGTTGGTGTCACCTTCAATTTGAAGGTTCTCAACACCAAGTTGATTACCAATGTGAATGCCTTGTAAAGCTGCCAACAACTCAGCCCTATTTGAGCCTCCTATTCCCACTGGACCCGAGTACAAGGCTAAGATATTACCATCCTTACCTCTCAAAATCCCTCCTATACCTGAGGGGCCAGGATTGCCTTGACTGCTTCCATCAAAGTTCAGTTTTACAAAACCTTCTGGCGGCGAAGTCCATACTATAGAAGTCCTTTCCTTCTTGAGGGAACTATTAGCCACCTCTAGCCAGTTCCTTCTAAAGTCATCAAAAGAGAACAAATGAAAAAATTCTGAAGTTCTCAACTAATGAATTGCCCTTGTTAAGATACACTCTTTGATATTCGGGAGGCTTCATTCCTTTTCTTGAAAAATTATTGCATTTCTTTCCTCCCAAATTGTCCTAAGTGTGGCTGCTCTGATACATTTCCACATAATCTTCCCTCTTTTTGTGAGACATACAAAGACCAACGGGTTGAAAAGCAGACTTACATCAGTGGTAAATTCCACTTGCAACCAAATAAGGCAAAAATCCAATCACAAATAGCAACAGCAAAGGAGCAGGAAACTAGTAAGTGGAAGCAATCCTCACCATTAGCTTTGCATAGAATACACCAGCTAGGGGACAAGCACATAAAAGGCTTAAAGGCTTCTTTTTTCGTAGGCAGTCTAGAGTATTGATCTTCCCATAAAACACTTCCCAACAAAACAAGATAATTTTGGGGGGAACAAGCTTAGCGCAAAGCTCCTTTACCGGAAAAACCAACTGAGGGGAGGAAGAAAAGAGGGCTTTCAAAAAGGAGGCACAAGAAAGGGAGCCTTTTGGGTGGCGGGACCAAATCCTCTTGTATGACTATAAAGGATCCAAACAAACATTATCAAGAATCAAAAGAAATTGAGAAACATCACCAAGTTCAGCATCCCTCAAGCCTTGACAGAAACCAAAATCCCAATTTAATGACAAAGGCAAAAGGGGGGAGGGAAGGAAATTAGAGACAGCCTTATTCTTAAACAAGGAAATAGAGTAGAGAGCATAGTTGTTGTAGAGAACACTAATGTGGACCCCACTAAGGTGGTCCCCACTGTTCGTATGTCAGCAATAAGTTATGATTAGGATTAGTTCTTTATGATAAGATTAGKCCTAGTCTTTTATAAGATTAGGATTAGTCTTTTTTCAGCTT